AGGTGGATTAGGGAGGTGGATTTAGGGAGGTGGATTTAGGGGGTGGATTTAGGGGGTGGATTTAGGGGGTGGATTTAGGGAGGTGGATTAAGGGGGTGGATTTAGGGAGGTGGATTTAAGGAAGTGGATTTAGGGAGGTGGACTTGTAGACGGATTTTGGGGGCAGATTTAGTGTGTGGATTAAGGGGGGGGGGCAATTTCGCCGCAGTCCTCTCTTTTAGTTTGAAATTCCTATATTTACCTTTTTTTGTTCCCAAATATCCCCAAAATGCAGGAAATAGCATTTCTGGAAACTAAGAATTTTATTGKGACTGTATACTCCCAAACCTTCAATCCTGTGGTTTCATTTACGTACTCAGCAGTGACATTTTTCTAACGCCAATTATTTCCCCCCTCCCCTCTGCTTTCCTGAGATCCCTAGATCCGCAACTGCTAGTCAGCTCTGTCAAATGGCACAAGTGATACTTTTATCTGTAAACAGACATTAATCTTACTTCATTAAATTACTATTATCTTCTTAGCGATAAGCCAAACTGTTTTGTGATGTCGAATTCAGGACTTAGCTGGGCAGGTAAGAGTAAGGATATAGAACATAGGACATAGGATGAGCAAGTATGATAACCTCATCTTTCTTTATTTCCTTCAACAACCAAAAAACTTTCACCTTTTAGTGAAACAACCTCTGGTCTGATCTAAGTCAGGGTAAGGCTAACTCACACATCAAACCTTAAAACAACCTCTGGTCTGATCTAAGTCAGGGCAAGGCTAACTCACAGATCAAACCCTGAAACAACCTCTGGGCTGATCTAAGTCAGTGCATGGCTAACTCACAGTCTATCTTATCCTGAAACGACCTCTAGGCTGATCTAAGTCAGGGCATGGCTAACTCACAGTCTATCTTACCCTGAAACAACCTCTGGGCTGATCTAAGTCAGTCTATAACTCACAGATCAATACCCGAAACAATCTCTGGGCTGATCAAATCAGGGCAATGAAGATTAACGTAAAAAAGGTAGAAACATTTTCTTAAAAAAACTGTGGTTCACACTGTACCACCCAACATGACATGGGATGCTCAGGTGATAATCTAGATGACGTCATCGATATACATATCAATTCCTCTTTTTTCTAGCTATAAATTTTAAAGTG